GTGTGTGTGTGTGTGTGTGTGTGTGTGTGTGTGTGTTTTCTTTACCGTTTCTGAGCTGCGTTGAGTTGATCATCTTCAGCAGAATGCTCCTTCTGAGCTGCAACACAGATAGAAAAGGTAAATCAGCTGTGGGTCAGATTTAGAGGCCTTGATGACTCAGGGCCAGTGTTCATTGAGGGCCACAGACTCCAGAAGAGGGCGCTGCGATCATGAATCCCTCTCTGAATCACCAGTGGATAACCGCAGAAGAAAAGCTGAGGGTTGAGACGTAAGGAGCACAGCGCTGCTCAGCACATTGTAAAGTTTGTCATGCCTCTTTGTGTTGACGCTCCAAAGTGTGAGTGTGCGACGCCTGGGCTCGGGGGCGGGGAGCGGCGCTCTGTTTGTCAGGGTTTTGTTTTGTGTGTGATTGCATACACGCTGAAGCTGAAGCGGAGAGGCTTGGGAACCGAAGGCTCCTCTGGACTGCTGCCATGTAAAAGTGTCTAAATGCAAGGCAGATGTGAGCCGGCCGAGGTGCAAGAATTTATCTAGGGCCAACGAGTGCCTGTGATCTCAGATTTATTGCATTTTTCCAGATTCATCCTTTTCTTTTACAATGATGGGGGACCTTTTTCTACTTGAAGATTTAAGAGGGGGAAGTCTCTGAAAAATTGTTCAAAGGCAGGTTTTGGGGGTCTTCTGGGACTAGGTGAGCCAAAGCCTGCGATCAACAACCCCTTTTATTTTTAGGCCTTCTTTACATGTAAACCTAATGAAGGGGGTGGCCATGTCTGGACTCGAAAGAAGAGGGGGAAGAAGAGAGGGGCCGTGACCAATGGTGTTAGTCTCAGTGGGGGTCAGGCTGGCGCCTGAGGTACCCCTCTGGTGTGACTTTGCAGAGGTGGCACAGAAGCCGAAAAAGCTGAGGGAAAGAAAGCGGCGCAGAGAGGGAATGTGTGAAGTTTCTCTTCCTCTGCTCCGTGTGTTAACATGAAACCACTAGTCGCTAACTAGAAAGTTATGAGACATGCATGCTGAGAGGGACAATAAATCATGGCTTTAAAGCTCTGACAGACTTTTTCAAACTGCTACTYAAACTGAGATAACAGAAAGAGAAGCGCAGACCATAAGTGATGGTAAAGATTTTTATAAAATGTTCTTCCTCTCCTGCTCGTACTTTTATGTGACAAGGCTCAAGCCCAATAAATTTATCAAAAGAAAGCCTAACATGCTGTTTCAGTCAAACCTGACGTTCTGCMTGATTTCACTGTGAGGTCTCGTGGTTTTGAAATGTGTTGAAGAGGATTTTCAGCTACTACCAAACCAAAATTTAATTTTGGTGAACTGACTGAATTAAAATAGGTCTTGTGTTAGCTAAGGTTGATTAGCTGTGGGGGCGATCTTGAATTTTGATGACTCCAAAAGTATAGATGTACTGTATATCCACTGATTCGTGAGATATTTTGCACAACAGACAAACAAAACACACATAAGTGAAAATAACTTTTTCTGACTAACCACCAATAAAAAAGTGCAAAGATGTTAGGACACAATTTTTTTCCATGGAAAGTTGGTAAAAACACAAGCAGGATTTTTTTACCCCCTCATTTAGTCATCATGGCATAAATTCAAGATAGAAAACTACGTCGGAGTGTCACAGGCAGGAAAATGATTCATTTTAAAACAAAAAGCTTTAAAAATACTTYGGAACAAGAGATTCATACAATGTGAGGAAGATAAACATGTTCTTCTTTCACACAAAAGAAAAGCAGATACAAATTAAAGGCCTGGTATATCTTTAAAGGACTGCTTACCATCTGCCACTTTTCATTAAAGTGGGGGCAGCAGGRGGTGTTATTATGCAAATTTATATYGTGTTGTAATGTCATTCTCTCATCAAACACATAACCAGAGTGTTGCTTTGACTCATTCATACATGTTTGAAAAATTCTTGAATCGCCATGTGCCTRAACACTTGCTGGTACATAGCACCGCCTACTTACACAAAGCTCCTCCCTGGAGCTCAGGCTGCAATTGAGCTTCCCTCCCCTGAAGCACCGCTGAAGATGTGCTGAAGTGGGTGTGTCAGAAAYGGTAGGAGGTTCTTAAAGAYACAGAGGCCAATTTCAAGGTGTTTTGATAACAAACATCTCAACTTTGTCATCGGCTTGATCTGTTTTTACGCAGACTGTGTGTTGAGTATCAGTCTCAGCTACTACCACACAACATTTGAGCTCGATATCTGAATGACTGACTGCTTTAGAGTTATTRTGTTTTCTAAAGTTGAAYTGAATTTAAAAGTTAACCAGTTGCAAACGTAAACCCAATAATTAGATTCTGAGGGCTTCAGTTGAAATCTGTCCAATGGTTCATGAGATATTTTACAGACAAACAAACAAGTCAGTGTGTTGGTGTGAAGCAGCAGCTCTCTTATAAGAGAAAGCTGGATTTRGATCTGGGAAGGATCACACAGACAGAGTTCCGGACTCATTGAGATCAAACTAGTTATAATGTTTATTTGTTCATTCCCCGCACAAGACAACGAGTCTTCTGCTTAGACAAACCTCTCCGTGACTTCCTGTTCCACTCACACGGAGTTTCCCTTCTGTTTCATGTTACTTTTAATATGTAAAATCATGTGTAAGACACATGTATCTGTGCGTGAGCCGCCTGAGCGTTTACCTGGATGAAAACCTCGTTCAGTAATGAGTCAGAGTTTAACAGCCTCAGCTGCTCTTTGATGTGAACGCTGTTGACTTGTATTTTATTTTGCCTTTTGAAGTCATGGAATCATCTCAAGCGTTTACGGAGAATGGGTAGGATCTCGAGGAATTTGGCTGATGAAAAATAAAAATGCCTTTTACAAGTTTTCTCATTGGAAAGACTTACGTTCAGGATGTGACTTTGTAAAAAAAACTGTGCCTCTTTGCAGCCAGTGGTAACCGCAATGCCTTTAAAAGTTCCTGATTACTTTATGATGCTGATCACGAATCACAGGAAACAAACTAAAGAAATATGCGGTACTAATCAATTTGAAATAGGATCATTAGGCACTTTGTTGCACTTTTTAAAATCCTCCTTCTTTAAATGAATCCACAAAAAATAATGGAGTTTAAAAAACGTAAAACACCAACAAGATGATTTCCAAATGAGTAATTAGCAGAAAACGACAATAAATCTTGGACAGCACTTTTTGACCAGTCACAACAATTTTTTTAAAATAAAAAAAACACCAATAAGTTTAACCACATGTATATTTTAAGGCCAACATTTAACTNTAATAATAATACACTTATTTGTATAGCACCTTTCAAAACACATTTACAAAGTGTTTTACATCACATAATAAAATCAAAACACAAAATAAATGACACCAAAACAAACAAACAAATAAATAAATAAATAAATAAAACCTACAAAAATCAACTAAGCCAACCTATAATAAAATATTTTTAGAGTTTTAAAGGAGGACAATGAAGAGGCCTGTCTGGTTTTAAGGGGCAGTGAATTTCATAACAGATAGCTAAATAAATGTGTGTATCATCTGCATAGAAGTGAATAGAGGTATTATATTTGTGATACCTTGACTAACAGGTAACATAAATAGAAAATAGTTGTGGGCCAAAAATGGAGCCTTGAGGAACGCCACAGGTGAGTTTTACAAAACTGAAGGAATTATTACCAATTGAAACACAGAAGAACCTGTCAYGTAAATGGTATATAAACCAGTTTGGAGCAGTTACATCTAGAATAAAAATTCAACATATAGGAGTTGAACTTTTTTTGTTTCTTTTCCAACTTTGATTGGCTGCCATCATGATAAATGGTTTGAAGTTAGAGATTTGTTTTTAAGTTTTCACTTTGGCTTTCAGAAACAACAAAAGGGAGATGGTGCAGCGGGGGTTTTAATAGTGTTTGGTTCAGAAAGACAACACAAMGTTTGACTGCAGTGTTTTGGGGAATTCTCTGTCAGAGTGGTCCCCAGGAGTGACCCACCGAGGCCGGCCTGGCTTTACAAGGCCACAGTCAGTGATTTCCTGCAGCTTTATGGAAGCTCAGAGCACAGGAGAACCATGTTAGGAGCAACATGATCCTTTCTACAGGCCTGTAGACTTCTGTCCTCAGTGGACTGTGATGCAAAAACAAACAAAAAAAACACACACACAGACACACTGGGAGACAGATCCACCACCAAATATTCTACATATATAATTTTTTTTAAAAGGCACCATGCTGTGTGTCTGAGCAAAGTATGGGGCTTTTCTATCRTTGTGCCTTTAACTTCTATGTCCAAATGGAGGGTATATTTTTGAAGATGTTGGGAACGTTTTTTTTAAAACAGCGTCACATGAACTTWTGAGGACCAAACAGACATACGAAGCTACATGAGGGTGAGGACGTGGGTGTGTCACCATGAGTTGATTTAATTGGCTGAGAATAGACAGGTTTTTCTTCATTCTGAACGACATTCCCCCAGTGTCCTCACTGGTAGGTACGTTATTAATGATGCAATGAAATGTTTGAACTTTTAAACAAAGAACAAATGACAGGCAGCGTCTAAACATTTCTGTCTTTACTACAGGTAAAAAGAAGAATYTGGACTTACCAGCAGATATGAAGAGCTCCATCTTATCCTTAAAGGGCTGCAGGTGTTCCTCTGATGAGTTAGTCGACACTTTCTCCACGTCCTTCTCACAAGCTGGTCAAGAGGAAACAAGAAATGCAAAGAAAAACAAGGATTGAAYCACTTAAAATGTGTTATCTGTAAAAAATCAATAATGAAGGAAGTGGCACACTAACGATGCGGTGACAAAAACAAACCCACCTATCCTGCTCTTAAATAAAATAAATTTACATGGTAAAATAACATAAAAGTAACAATTGAACATTTAAAAAGCTTCTCCAATAGCTTGAGGGAATTTTTGGCTTCCCCAAAAATGCCAATATGTTTGAGAGAAACTGGTCAAAAAGATATGAGTYATTTAGGACTCAAATTAAAATAAATTAGGTAATATTTCTGTAAAATATAATCAGGAAATTCAGTAATTTAAATGATAATGTTTTCTGTTTTGCACTTTTTTATTTTTCTATTTTGTATGGCAGCAAAATGAACACATAATGAAACACTCATCTAGGTAAAAAAACAGAAAACTAAAATTTTTAATTTTATGCAAAATTATCTGGAATACATTTTATTTATTTTTTTAGTCATTTTGTGTTTGAATTTTTTCATTTACTCATTTGGGCAATTCTTAAACCAAAGTTATATTTTTTGTTGCAATTTTCTGAAGAGAATTTGATCAAGATTTGAGTGGATAATGTGCAATAAAGTGGTATTGTTCTGATTGCCGTGGATCCCGCCTGCAGGGCTCCTCCGTGCAAGTGAGTGTGGCAGATGTGTTTGCGGTTTGTGGATGTTTTTTTGTTTCCCTGCCAAATGATCCGACTCACACAATCTCAGAGGAAACAGACACGACTGACTGTGTTCCAGCCGAACCTTTCCCCATTTCCTCTTAACTGTAAGCCTGGGTTACTCTACACACACAGGGGCGTCTGCTGAAGGAACTCTGGCACAATCCTCCAACCTGTAAGTCATTAATGGCTGCAATAAATACCTTAACTTGCTTATGACTGCATGGCTAAATAGTTCTGGATCAGAACAAGAGTATTAACGGGTCTGGCCGCGGTCTGACTTTGCTTTGTCGCTGCTTTTACATCCGCGTTTTGTCTCGGGCTCTCACATGTTTGCATGAGAAGCTGCTGCACCTGCGATGTGGTACATCTTTTATTTATCAAACGCCTTCATAAATGGAGGAGGAAACACAACGCGCGAGCTTTATAAATGAGAGGTAATTGTACACAGACACACACTCCGGGTTGCCATGACACTTAAATTCGTAGTAAAAGGCAGTTAATAAAAACAGAAGGCGGTGACCATACAAACACAACAATCCAAATAGTCCGTTTGGATAAACCACATTTCCCCACCAAAAATCCCCCGACTCAAAAGCACCCATTAAAACGGTGCTCAAAACAGCAAGTCTACAATTTAGAGGGGGCTTCTTTCCAAATGTGGTCCAGACAGCAAAGGCTGCGAGGAGGAAGCCCACAAAAAAAAAAAAAAAACACTACAGCTGTAAAGAATAAAAATTAAATGCTGAAGTTTCAGACATTGTCTGTGAGTGATCATTCATTCTGGAAATGCTTATTTACAAGTAGGACTCTCCTCTACAACAACCAGGGGTAAGAAGACACTAAATATGAAGCAATTTATCTGAAACCACACAGTTTCCTTATGGTTCATGATTTGTGATGCATGAATAGAATAAATCTATTTCAAATCAGACAGAAAACAACAAAAAAGTGTACTTATAGACATACATAAATATACATTTTGACCAACTTACCAGGCCATCTGTATGAAAAGGAGAAGGTTGAAGTAAAACGTTTACTTTCCTACCCCTTTCTTTTCAATTGATCAATATAATTTAGATTTTTAATTTTTTGTTAAACTTTCTTACTTTATATGCAAAGCCATCTAAATTACAGCACAAGTGAACAATAATAGTACCAATAATTTAACACACCAGTGTTTCACCACCTCTACAAACTGTCACAATAAAGATGATTATGTAGCCGACAGCACCACAGATAACCAGGATCACAGTGGCAGCCGTGACTCCAGTCTTTGCAGTCATCCATCATTTTACATAAAACCAGCTGAAAGAGAACATTTAGTAAAAAATAAATAAACTCAAAACTAAATTTATCTGAGCAATTACTGAAGATCACGATAAAGGAAAAAACACTAATAGAGGGAAGAAATGACTGACATCACAGCAGAGATGCAGACATGTTGTCCTGTTGCTTGGTCAAAAGAGGCACCGACTGAGCAGCAGCTCACACTAATTTAATAATTCTCCCAAGATTCAAAATCACACTCWTTAAAACTTACTGCATTTTTTTCCCCAGAGGATAAATCAGTGCCGTGTTCCTGCTGGTTATTTATACCTGCAAAGTGAATTCTCTCACTGATCTCCAATAATAATCTTTCGTTCCAGCAAACTGTCAGACCTCCAGCTTTCCTTTCTTTGGGATAAAAATAATACTGTAGCCTCTCAGGAAGGCCAGCCAAAGACTGCCTCAGCAGGGAAATGGTGAGACCTTCACTCCCCTTTCCATCCTTCATAAATCAGCCAGTATCTGTCTAACAACTGTCCTCTGAGTTATTYGCTGGAGAATACAACAAATATAGACTTTAAACAGAACTTTCTTTAAAATGACACAATTAGCTCAGTATAAAATGTAGAAAGATTGATGGGTTTTCCAAAAGAGAAATTACATTTTTTACACTAAATGAATGTGAAAAGTCTTGTTTAAAAATCTAATATTAGAGTTTAATGACAAGCTAACCCAGAGTAATAGTTTGCAACAAATCATTTACAGAAATTTTGCACTTAGTTTTGTCTCATTTAGGTGATTGTGCCTCTGCATGCGCCGTTTCGACTCTGTCGTAAAACAGCATTCAGGCTAAAGGCCCTGCCCGAACTTGACATTAAGGGCCATTAAAAACCAGGACACTGTCTGATTTGCCAAAGTGATGAATGCCTAACCTSGGCCAGGCCTTCTGTGAAACGCTAAACCCCCCTGAGCAGCAAATGAGCTCTGACTGTTTTGTTTTATTTGATTCTATTTCATTTGTTTGCTTCAGTGTGCCTCGCTTGATTAAATGGCAGCTAAAGGATTTTTTTTTTCACACATGACCACAGGTCTGAAGGTGATGCATTAAAACGGCCACTTAAAGGAGAACTTAAAAAATTWGCGTTTTCACAGAAAAAGCAGTGTGAAGGATGAATGAGGAATGACTTTGCTGAGTTCTTACAGTGAACAAGCTAGAAACTACAAAAAAGAGACAAAAACTAAAAAGAACAAAACAGTAGCTAAAAGAAGCAAAACTAACAGTAGCAAAAGGTGGCTAAAAGTTAAGAGTAGCAGAACTTTACCTAAAAACAAAAAGCATAAAAAGACAAAGGTAGCTCAAGTATGCTACAGCAGATTTCAAAGAGAACTTTTTTGGAGAAAATGAAGAGACTTCAATGCATTTCTATGAGAAAAATATTTCTAAATAAAATTGAAYATTTATATTTAATCTACAAAAACCAAATATCATTGCAGCCATCCCCTGACTCATCTGAACATTTTGATATACGAGTGACTAAAATAGTAGCCTGGTAAAAAACCAGACCCTTGTCCTTCACTTTGCTTCATACGAGGATCTGGACTCTCGGCTATAGAGAAGCAATTCTTGCTGGAGGCGTGGCCTCTGCTGAAGTTTAAAATGATTGGATTGATTGGCCACGACGTATGTGTGCCAGCTCAACTGTGAAGGAGGCTAAGCTAAGAAGCTAACCGGAAATCGCGTGCGCTGTAAACAACCCTACTGAGAGGAGAGAAGTACCGAGCCAAATGAGACGACTGTAAATGAGAGCTGCTGCTTTGTCAGAAAATTTTAATTTAATTTGGAAGCCTTATCAACACGGACTGGCTTCATTCACTTCCTCCACTGCCATTGCTAAATTATAAGCAGACACTGCACAGAAAATCTACGTCATTCAAAACTCCGCCTTCTGTTTGCTGATTGGCCCAGTTAAAACAAACTACAAGCAGACACTGCGCAGAAAATCGATGTTCTGTTCTCTGATTGGCTCGAATGAAATGCTCCCGAAGAAATCCTTGTCTATGAGAGAAATCCCAGACAGAGCAGGGAAGAGAAACTAGAACTGAGCGGAGCTGCRTGGGAAGGGAAGGGCCAGACTACTAAAATAGCTCATAATGTGCAGAAGTAGCTAGATTTCAAAAAAGGTGCGGAAAAATAAAAATAAAACTAAAAAGACAAAACAGGAAAACAATTGGGCAAATGCTGCCTCAGTATTCACATTATTAGGAGCTTCTTGTGAAGAAGTCTCAGAACCCAAATTCACACATTAGTAACGGCACAGACTCCATTTAAGTCCTAGAATAGGTCACTGCGGTCTCTCACTCATCCTTCTCCCCTGAGCGGAGCCAAGAGAGAGGTCATCACCCTCTCTCCAAACAGGAAGCCCCATCACAAGTGGATCATGTTTCTCCACAAGCCAGTGAAGAAGAGGGCAGCCAAGCGGACGGCGATCTGTCTCTGAGCATCACTTACGGCCAGTGAAGCAGAAGAAAGTCATAACTCCTGCTGGACTATGACACTTGTTTTAATATGGAAACCTTGAAGGAGATTAGCCAAAGAGAGGTGCATTTCTCATCATTTGTACCAAGTCTCCAGACCTTTGACCCAAGTCTGGAGGGCAAGGCACGACCAATCATTGCATTCGCCACCTTAGGATCAGGTAAAGGCCAGACTGCTTTACTCAGAGTCAAACACTGTACGTAAACCAACATGGGATTCAGTAGTTTCTCAGTATCAGACAGAATTCAGATTGTGGATAAAAGAGATCTGTGTTAGCTTGATAATTAAGACCAGTTGTGTTCTTCAGGCTGGTTTATAATAGCCAGGCATAAATATTTATCCCTGGCGGCTGGAGAGGATAAAAATGGTGGAAGTCATAGGTGGGGCTCACCAAACCTCCAGTTTTCAGCGCTCACCCACCCAGCGGTGCTAATACCCCCAAGGACTACTGTGCCAGACTGGGCTTCGGCCGAGATCAAATACGAGGGCMCTTGTGTTGCATTTATTGTCTTCAGGTCTTCCATTCTTCCTAATAAATGAGTGACAGCTTGAGGTGGGTCTGGGTACTTTAACAGACTCTTTTGTGTTTTTCCCTCAGGTCAGAGAGGAGCGGGCTTTAACAGCAACGTGAAGCATATCTAATTGCTTTCATATGCCATATTAATGCTTGATTTAAATAACCACAGACACCAGGGGCACCCAGGGGCGTCGCCTTTAACCTCAGCGTGGCCAAGAAGACTAACTGGCTGCCTGGTTGGACTGGCTCGGCAGCAAGGATGCAGCAAACGGGAACATCAGAAGTTCACGTGTTTATTTATTCGCCAATTGTTGCTGTGATGTTGCCTCATCGAAMAGGAATGTAGATGTGTTTTCTGGACCTTACTCATGCTTTGAAAATGCTCTGGATACAAAAATACTTTGAAATATACCTCTGTCTGTGCAAAACAACCAAAACAAAACCAAAAAAATAAAAACAGAAGAGGCTGTGGTGTTGCGAAGACATGGCGGTCAAGACGTGGTGTCTGGAGACTGGGAGAAATCGCTGCAGGCCTTTTCGAGGTCCTGAATGTACTCACAAACCTCTCGGAGTGGAAGACGGAGTCCATGGGAAGTACATTTACATTTAAAGTGCTTTGGTGAAAGATGGTAACGTACACAATTATAYTGACTGATTACTAACAACACATACAGTAGATTAGCCTGGTTAAAACCAGTCCCTTGTTCCTCGCTTTGCTTTGTACAGAGGGTCTGGACTCTCGGCTATAGAGAAGTGATTCTTGCTGGRGGCGTGGCCTCTGTTGAAGTTTGACTGCGACTGTGAAGGAGGCTAAGCTAAGAAGCTAACCGGATTTTGCGTGCCTTGTAAACAACCCTACTGAGAGGAGAGACGTACCGAGCCGAACGAGACGTTGTAAATGAGTACTGCAGGCTTTGTCAGAGAAATTTTATTTAATTTAGAAGCCTTATCAACACAGACTGGCTTCATTCACTTCCTCCACTGCCATTGCTAAACTATAAGCAGACACCGTGCAGAAAATTGACATTGTCGTTCAAAACTCCTCCTTCTGTTCGCTGATTGGCTCAGGTAAAATTCTACCAAAGAAATCCTTGTCTATGGGAGAAATCCCAGAGAGAGCAGTGAAGGGAAACTAGGAATGAGCGGAACCGTGGAAAGGCAAGGCCCAGGCTAACAGCAGATGAACTAAGCAGCAAAATTTGACGTGAAGGACTAGAAGATGCTTCTGAGCATGGTGGTGTTTTCAACGCACATCTACATGTAGCGTGTCAATGCCCCTTGGGGACAATCTCAGGGAGATGTAAAGGGTGTTTTTTGGTCAAATAGTTCCACTTTGTTATAAAAGAAAAGTTACTGTGGACAAAAATCGACAGTTTAGTAGAGTAGGTGTAGGACTGCGTGGTAGTGCTTCACTCTGCGGAAGGTGAGATCAATGCAGACTGATCTCTTTGTGCAACCAGACCTAAGACTTCACAGTTACAGTGAAGATAAAGCTTTAGATACATCACGACATGTCCTACCTGTTAGATCTTTCTTTAGTTTTCTGAGGTCTTTGGTTAAGTCATCAAATTTGACCTGCGAAGCCTGAAAGAAGTCTTGCGGCTCAGGCAGAGGGAAAACACTCTTTTCTGTACCAGCATGCTGAAAACAAACACAAAAGCATTCATGTTTAAAAGAGCTGTTTAATTAGAAGGAAAACATTGTGTTAAAGTTTACAACGTGACTCACTTTGTCAAAGTTGCGCAGGTAATATAAAACTACATAATCCACCAGATTGATGTGATTGTCCTGAAAGCAAAATGATAAAAAAAGACAATCTGAGTTCATTGCACTTCAAATCCAGAGGCAGTAATAGAAGCTTTTAGTTGCTGGATACCTTGCTCTTCACATCCTTTAGCTTAGGGAGGATCTCCAACCCAAAACCGTCAGCCTGACCTCTAGTCCGGTTCCCTCCATTCATATAGTTCCCAAAGGCCAGAACGAGACCCATTACATCCTGCAAGCTGTTACAGTCCAGCAGGTCCTGATTCGGACACACAAACGTTCAGGTGAGCAACTCTTCACATGGCTTGATGGTACTTTTGAAACACTGTTTGTTGTTCTTACTTTGCAGACATCGGAGATGGTCACCACCTTGCGACGTATGGAGGAGATGGTGTCGAGGAACACCGACTGGAAAATGATGCAGCGGGCCCGGCCTGCAAAGTCAGGAATCTGGGAGAGCTCGTAGAGGAACCTGGAAGACAAAAATGGGTTTGGGGTGGGGGTGTGGGGGGGAGCAGAGGGAGGGCGAGGAGGAGGAATGGGGTGTGATGTGTTATGACAGAATTAAACAAAACGTCTAACAGGAAGAACTGTTCTGGGGCTCTTGGCAGGCCGAGCTTCCCCAMGCAGGCCGGCTGAGTCAACGTTGCTGYTCGCAGGCAGGCAGCTGATAGTCATGAGCGGTGCTGCTCCGTCGGGTTTGAAAGGTCCAAAGGGGGTCGGGGTGGAGGGGAAAGCAACGAGCGGTGCACGGACACTGATCAAAGGTAGCTCTGGCCTGATGYGGGACGACTTATGTAAACAGTGCCGTGTCGGAGGGGAGCGGAGCGGTTACATCCTGTGTGATTAGGCCCTGCTGATGGAGGTAGACACTGAGTAAGGATGACTCAGGCAGCTATAGTGACAGCTCTGGTCAAACATGGAAATAGAAAGGCCAGGCTGAGCGGCACCACTGGATCCAAGCTTCATTAACTGGCCTGGATTAACTAACCCCAACCGGAACTACTGAAGCAACATCTATTAATGAACACTTTTCCACCCTAATACGAAAAATGTCACAATCATACTTCTTGTACCTTGAGTTGAAGTCATCTACAATCATTAATTAAGGTAAAATACCCTTTTTGTGTTGGGAAAATGTTAGAATCATTAAAAAATAATCTTACTGTTCAGGTTTGTCCAACAGTTTCACTTCATCTTCTTTGGAAGTCTCGTAATGTTTCGTTATCTTGTCCATTTCATCACTGGTGGCCCTCTGTGGGGGACACAACATTTTGTCCACAACTGAGCTCTACATCAGTACAACTAAGTAATTCARCAAAATACAAAGTACAACGGATTGTTTTATTGAAATATAACTAACTATAAAATGATTACTCGCTGTTTTATTCCACAAAAACACACAGCTACTTACGTTTTCGTACAAAGCTTCAATAGTCTCCAGATCCACCACAGAGTTGTCCACATTAAGAACAGCTGGTAAAGATAACAGTGAAGACATTCATTGTAAGCTGTCGCTCTTATAAATGGGAGAAGTCTTGGCCCAAACACGCTGCCTTTCAAGTGCCGACAGTGAAGAACAAGCCCCACTAGAGAAATAAACTGATGATAGCTCTGTAATATCGTTAAAAGTTAGATAAAACATCATTATATCCGATGTAAACAACTTGCAAGATGTCCTGTGTGTCAGGACAAAAAAAAAAAAGAAAAAGAAAAAGAAAACTTGACATAACCATGGAAGAAAAAAAGTATATCAGAGTGAAACCAGACTGCTACTTGTGCGCTAGAATGCATATACCCACAAAATTTAAATAATMTAAAAGCTGTGTAGGGAAATGAAAGCTTTATTTGATGCAAATCCCTCAGATGTTGAACTAATTTTGAAGAGCCGTTGCTCCTCTCTTGACCAGGACAAGCAAATCAGGGGGACAGAGTCCTCTTTAATGACTCAAAGAGGACAGAAACTGCTTGACCTCTGAACGGACATGCAGAACCACCACAGCAACTAACGATTAAATGTGACCCATCACATCAAAGTCCAAACTGGTCAAAATGACCTACAGTAAGCACATTTTCAGATTCCTGCTTTTAAGCTACATTTTGATACCAGGATCATCCTGATATCATGAGCAGTTCCAGATATGCCTTGGTTTATCTTCCTAATCAGGATAACCCATTGGTCTGAATTCTACTTTTAGGTTATTCTAATGAGGACTTCTTAMAGTCGTTTTAAAGAGGAAACCTCAAGCATTTTGTAGATATAGGTGGGAAAAAAGGCTTTGGTAGCACAGGATGTATATAAAAAAAATTAAGGGGGGAGGGGGGCGTGCTAGCTCACYTCTAAACCACAATCCAACTGTGCTACCTTCAGTTGTTATAAAATGCTGTATAAATCCAAAATAAATTTTAGTCTAAATGCCTTAAACTTGGCCTCGTTCTCTTTAAAAACCTCCTACTGTTTCTGACACTCCCACTTCGGCACGTCTTCACGACAATGCTTTGGGGGAGGGGTGCTCTGTGGGGCGGGAGCTCAGCTGCACTCCTGGGAGGAGCTTTGTGTAAATAGGCGGTGCTTTGTACCAGCAAGTGTTCAGGCAGCTCCACAGGAGATTCAAGGATTTCTCAAACATGCATGAATGAGTCAAAGCAACACACTAGGTATGGTTTTGATGARGGAAAGCCACTATGATGTAAAGCTAGAAAAAAAGTTGATCATGCTGACACCCCCCCTTTAAGGTTTTTCTGCTTAAAATCAGTTTTTTGGTAGTTATTGCTCAAAAAAGGTTTAAAAAAATCTTTAATGTTTCAGATATTTCTTTTTAATGACCTGCAGATTTACAGTTTGACAAAATGCAATTATTTCATTGGTTTAACTAAAACGCTGTAGCTACCTAATTCTCCACACACCATTTTGAGGCTTAATCCTTGATGGATTACATGTATAGAAGTAGAAAGTCCTGTAACACCTTAAAGTGTGCAAGTTTTTTCTCACCCAGTCTTCGCTGCTGTTTTGCAATCAAATCAAACCTACTCAGAAACAAACTTAAAGAGTTCTACATCTAAACTAGATGATGCTCGTTTGACCCAAATGAATGCAACACGTTCAGCCACACCGCCTTTGTCCCTCCAGTCCCACACTAACTTCACACTAACAAGCCAACTCGTTGCACTCTGGTCCGCAGCTGTTCTGTAGCAGGGAAGCTGTCAATGTGGTCTCAGAGTCTGGATCAGAGAAAAACGCTGGAGGTCCATTTCCTATATCTTATTAGAGTGGATTATTCAGTCCCTCAGCCATGCAGCCGTCAATCACACACCAAAGGGGGGCCTGCCCCAGTGTGCACAGGAGCACTCTGATCYGAGGGGAGCCGGATATCTCTCCACACCGACAGATCAAAGCCGGCCTGCCAACGGCCTCACACCCTCTCCTTCCACTTTTCACTCCTGTATGTTGTGTGAGGCGGTGTGTGTGTGCGTGCGTGTGTGTGTGTGTGTGTGTGTGGAGAGAGCCTCCCCTTGCCCTTGAATCATGGTGGCCCTTGAGGTCCCCCAGTCATTTTGACTGGTGCCTTTGACCCCCCTCTCTCCCTCTAAACCAGAATGYTCCCCTCCTTCTCTTTTCCTCCCTCCCTTGTAGCTGTAATTACATTACATGTACCATGTCCTTTTAATTTGGCAACAAAGAGGAGGTAAGCAGGCGAGGCCGGACTTAAGAAGTGCTCTTTAAAGGCGCTGTCCTTAATTGTCAAATTCAAATTGTCCATTTCACATTCACCTCCCGTTAAAAGGCAGAAGGAAACAGCCTCAAGCTGGGTGGGAACGAGCCCCTTCGACCAAATGACACTGGAACAGAGGGGACAGCATTGAGGGGGAAAGGGAAAAGAAAAATCTAAACAAGATGGTCACAGTAGTGTATGTGCTGCTTGCCGTGTGTTGGAGGCAGTTTTATGTGGTAGCCCGGTGTCTGCTAACTGTAGAAGGTGGTTTTGTACATGCTTAGATCATTAGTGGGGTGTCAGTCCCATTAGGCTTGTGGAAACCGTCACTGGCTACAATAAACAGATCTGCTGGCCGCATGCTCAGACTCGCAGGCGGCAGGCATTCTCCGCCACAGTCCCAAAACAGGACTAATTCCTGGCCCATCTACGATGTCCCCAGCACACATATTTTGTGATTAAACACACACACACACACACACACACACACACACACACACAC